CCTTTCCTTCTTCTCATTCCTCTTCTTCCCCCTAACTCCGTTTGCAACTCTCACCCTGCAAAACAAGCCCCTTTTTCCCCCCTGCCCGAGGAGCTGCCCAACCCCGGCCATTCCCCCTTGCCTGCCTTTCCCCTTTTTCGCCTTCCCCTCTCCAACGAGACCGCTCCTGATCTTATTTTAATTCGTCTCAGACGGTGTTGGAGTGTTATTTTAAGAGAGAGGATATGCACAGACATTGTGTTTTCTGCTTTTTCCTGGCCCCAAGCCAGGCTCTCTGGGCTGTCAGCTACCCACTGTGTTGCAGTCACGTGTGGGAAGAGGCAGCCAGAGCCAGCCTCACAACTCCTGGTAGCAACATGGAAATCAAGTGTGCACTTTTCTTCCCTCTGTATGTGTCTGTATTATTAATAGCGTCTCTCTCCGTGAGTTATCCATAATGTATCTTAATACCTGTCCGGCTGGGAATGACGGATGGCGGAGCCCGCGCGGAATGGAGGGGCTGGGAAAAGTGTGGAGAGGGTGGTGGTGTCACCCCTGGGTGGGGAGAGGGGATGGGAGAGGGGTTGGGGATGGGAGAGAGGGGATGGGGATGGGAGAGAGGGGTTGGGGATGAGAATGAGGGGATGGGAGAGACAGGATGGGAGAGAGGGATTTGGGATGAGAATGAGGGGATGGGGATGGGAGAGAGGGATTTGGGATGGGAGAGAGGGATTTAGGATGGGAGAGAGGGATTTAGGATGGGAGAGAGGGATTTGGGATGGGAGAGAGGGATTTGGGATGGGCGACAGGGATTTAGGATGGGAGAGAGGGGGGGGGGATGGGAGAGAGGGATTTGGGATGGGAGAGAGGGATTTGGGATGGGAGAGAGGGATTTGGGATGGGAGAGAGGGATTTGGGATGGGAGAGAGGGATTTAGGATGGGAGAGAGGGATTTGGGATGGGAGAGAGGGATTTAGGATGGGAGAGAGGGATTTGGGATGGGAGAGAGGGATTTAGGATGGGAGAGAGGGATTTGGGATGGGAGAGAGGGATTTAGGATGGGAGAGAGGGATTTGGGATGGGAGAGAGGGATTTAGGATGGGAGAGAGGGATTTGGGATGGGAGAGAGGGATTTAGGATGGGAGAGAGGGATTTGGGATGGGAGAGAGGGATTGTGGGGGATGACAATGAGGGGATAGGAGAGTGAATTGGGGATGAGAATGAGAGATTGGGGATGGGAGAGAGGGATATGAGAGAGGTACAGGGGAGAGAGATGGGGATGGGAGAGAGGGGTTGGGGATGACAATGAGGGGATAGGAGAGTGAATTGGGGATGAGAATGAGAGATTGGGGATGGGAGAGAGGGATATGAGAGAGGTACAGGGGAGAGAGATGGAGATGGGAGACAGGGATGGGAATGGGAGAGAGGGATGGGAGTGGGAGAAAAGGGAGGGAATGGGAGAGGGGGAGTGGGGATGGGAGAGAGGGATTGGGGAAGGGGAAAGAGGGATGGGAAGGAAAAGAGGGATGGGAATGGAAAAGAGGGATGGGAATGGAAAAGAGGGATGGGAATGGAAAAGAGGGATGGGAATGGAAAAGAGGGACGGGAATGGAAAAGAGGGATGGGAATGGAAGACAGGGACTGGAATGGAGTAGAGGGATGGGGAACAGAAGAGAGGGATGGGATCTGATAGCTGTGTGCAGCTCCAGCCATGCCCCAGCGTGGTGCAGTGGGTGTGGGGAGCTGCGGGATGCACTGGCATGGCACCCATCCCTGTCACCAGCTGAGATGTGCCAGGGGACACTGATGTCCCAGCACACGGATTCTGGCTCCTAGGAGCTCCTGCAGGAACACAACACTGCCCACCCCAGGGACCAGGAGGACCAGGACACGCGCGCAGGAGGCCGATGGGCAGCGGGAAAGGCGCAGCTGGACGGGCACGGAATGGGGCAGGGAAGAGCTTTGCCAGACACAGACCTGGCTCACCAGACTCCATGCGGGCTTCCCAGAGCCATCTGGAGCCTCCCAGCCCTGGGCGGGGGGTGGCAAGCAGAGCCCACCCAGCCAGACACCTGGGTTTGTGGGCAGCACCCACAGCTCAGTCCTCCATGGTCTCCCAGGGTCCCCAGTCCCATTCATGTCCTAGGGACAGGGATAGGACTGGGAAACACCATGAGACTGGGCTCCTCCCAGTGCCCACCAGTAACACGGACCACCCAGACCACACACCATGGACACACACGGTGCCCACACCCCCTTTCACCTGCACAGCACTTGTGTCCGTGCAGACACGGACGTGACACCCCCACCCCCTCGTGCACCCTCGAGATGCAC